CCCAGGGGTGATGGGACTGGCTGCATGTTCCAAGGCCTAGGCCAGTGGTTCACAACCATTTTTGTATCAAGACTCATTTGTAAACATCAGTGGTTAGTCCTGATCTAATGCCTCCTAGACCCAGTGTGGGGCAAGGGACCCCAAGCAGGCTGGAACTCTGCCAGCCTGAGAGGGAAAAGCCAGTTTTCCATGTTTTTCTCCTTTAAGGGAGAATTAATTTTTAAAGTTGGTTCGCAACCCTTTCATATATTCTTGTGACCTCCTTTTGGGTCACAACCCAGGGGTTGAGAAATGCTAGCCTAGGCTACCCACCATGCCTGGGCCAGGCAGGAATGAGGGACACACCGCAAGCCAGATAAAATCCCTTGTTGGGCCAGATTCAGCTTGTGGCCTGTATTTTCCCCACCCCAGTCTAGCTCCATCCTCTTTGTAACCCCCATTCAGGGAGTTAAAGGCTACTATTAAATCTGCCCTATCTTCTCTTCTACAGACTAAACAAGCCCGGTTCCCTCAGCCCCTCATAAGTCATATCCCCCAGTCCCCTCACCATTTCTGTTGCCCTCTGCTAGACTCTCCAACTTGTCCACTGAGTGACAGCCACCCTCCTCCTCCTCCCTGTTTGCCTCTGGGGAGCCCCATTACAATAACAGAAACTACAGCCTAAAGCAACGTTGTATTGCCCTGTGGAGCAGCGCAGTCCTATCTGCACTCCTAAAGGTACTTCATGCACCTTTCCCCGGCTATTGATGACGCAGCTCTATAAACCTCCTCTAGGTTGGCTGATCTCCAGCTGGCTTTAAAGTAGGCTTGACGGGGGAAGGGGAAGATGAGGGTGGAGGAAGCCTTGGACCACTAAACCAAGCGTCAACCACAAGAACAGTCCAGCCTAGACCGACAACGATCAGAACAAATACCCAGGTAAGCAACAGGGGCCCGGGTAGCACTGAGATTAGGAGGGCAGTGCATGCATCTTCAGGAGGCCTCAAATGCCTCTACACTAATGCTCATAGTATGGGGAACAAGCAGGAGGAACTTACCTTCCTGCTAGCTAACTCCAACCCAGACACAGTGGGGCTCACCGAAACGTGGTGGGACCCAATGCATGACTGGGCGGTGAATATCAAGGGCTATAGGTTGTACAGGAGGGATAGGACAGGGAGGAAAGGTGGGGGTGTGGCACTCTATGGCAAGGAAAATACACATCCTCAATGAGTAGCACTGGGTCAGAGGAGGGGCACACTGAAGTGCTCTGGGTTAGAATACAAGGAGGTCTGGGGGAAAGGGACTTAATGGTGAGGGTCTACTACAGACCACCCAACCAAGAGGAAGAGCTGGACTGGGAATTCTTAAGTCAGCTCACGAAGGCAGTTAGGTCAAAGGATGTGATCATCATAGGTGACCTAAACTATCCGGACATCTGCTGGGAAGAGCAGTCAGCCAGGTCTGACCGCTCACGTAGATTCCTAGCCGAGATACAGGACCTCCATCTAACCCAGGAGGTGCACAGCCCCACCAGGGGAGACGCCTTGTTGGATCTGGTCCTGGCCACTGGCGACGACCTGGTGAGGGGTCTGCAAGTGCTCAACCACCTGGGCGACAGCGATCATCGCCTGCTGGAATTCACCATCCAGCGCAAGGTGGCAAAGGCCTGCAGCAAGGCAGCAGCCCTGGACTTCAGGAGGGCAGATTTCAATGAAGTAAGTAAGGAGAATAGTCGGGGAGACACTGAGGTCCCGGAGGGGAGGAGAGTTGGGTGTTCAAGAAGAGTGGTTGTTCCTTAAGGACACGATCCTCCAAGTCCAAAGGGAGGTAATCCCAACACGGATCAAAGGGGGTAAGAGGGTGCAAAAGCCCCCATGGCTCACCAAAAGCATCCGGGAACGTCTCCTACCTAAAAAGGAGGTGTACACCCAATGGAAGGGAGGGGCCATCACCAGGGAGGACTATACCTCGGTTGCTTGGGGCTGTAGGGGGGCGGTCAGGAAGGCCAAGGCGGAGATGGAACTGGGACTAGCTACCCGGATCAAGGACAACAAGAAGTCCTTTTTTTAAATACATAGGGGGTAAAAAGAAGGTACCCGGTAATGTGGGGCCTCTGCAAGACATGCTAGGAAATCTGGTCGTTGCACCAGACAGCAAAGCTAACCTATTTAACAATTTCTTTGCCTCCATTTTTCTGAGCAGGGACTGGGTCATCCCCTCCACCGGGACCCCTGAAGGTCCCAGGGGAGGCGCGCCCAGGCCTAGGGTCAGAGAGGATCTAGTCAAGGAACTTCAGGAGGGATTGGACTATAAACCAGCAGGTCCTGATGACCTCCACCCCAGAGTGCTGAGGGAATTAGCAGAGGTCATTGCAGGACCCTGGCACAGCTTTACGAGCACTCGTGGTGCTCTGGTGTTGTGCCAGAGGACTGGAAAAGGGCCAGTGTGGTTCCCATTTTCAAAAAAGGGAGGAAGGAGGACCCAGGGAACTATAGGCCAGTTAGTCTTACTTCGGTCCTGGGTAAGCTTTTTGGGAGAATTATCCTGGCACATGTCCATGAGGGGCCAGCAGGGGAGATTATCCTTAGGGGCAACCAACATGGGTTTATTGGAGGCAGGTCCTGTCAGACCAACCCGGTGGCCTTCTATGACCAGGTCACAAAATCCTTAGATGCAGGGGTCGCGGTGGCCATAGTCTT